ACACCTAACTCAAATGTGTCAATTTTTCTACTGTCTTCCTTATTTACTGTCTAGCTTTCACATACATATGAGGTTATTGAAATTACCATGGCTTGGGTCAGGCACACCTTAGTCCTCAAGCTGACATCTTTGCTCTTCAATACTTGAAAAAGGTCTTGTGCAGCAGATTTGCCTAATGCAATATGTTCAAGCTATACAATCCCTTTAAAAGCTTTTCCTTGGGTACTTTAAGAAAAAAAAATTTTTTTTACATTAAATACAAAAAGTAATGGGCTTCCCAGACAGAATTCTGTTTTTAAATGGCATGAAGGTTGTGGTTCAAATCAACAGAAGCCAGGAAACTCAATGTTAACCTTTATGCACACAGTTACACCATTTTTCCAACTCTGTGCCCCTGTGAGCGGTCCTCCCTTTGAATTTCCTGGCTCTGGCAACCGAACTCCACAAATCACTTTGGATTTCAGTGCTATGGGTCAAACATTGAATGGGAATATGCCCCAAGGATATATGCTTATTTGCAAATGCTCTTAATTGTTGTTGTTAAATGCCTTCAAGTCAGTTTTGACTCTTAGCCACCCTGTATAGGGCTCCCAAGGAGCAGCTGGTGGCTTTGAACTGCAGTCACTGTAAATACAGGAGCCTTGAACCTAGCATTTATTTTTGTTTACTTTAAGCTCCTGGGATTCCCATTGATGCCTAACTTTTAGTACTGCCTTATACTCCTGGTGTGACACTATAGGGTAAGCACTGGACTGCAAACTACAAGATCAGCAGTTCAAACCCACCAACCATTCCTCAAAAACCCTGGATAGGGTCACCATGAGTTGGAACTGACTTGACGGCACTTTGCAACAACAACAATATATCCAAATAGGAAGAGTTACTATAACACTTGTGTTGTTAATATTGATTAAGTTTAATATTATACTTCGTCACGTTATAATTCAAATGCATTTTCATATGTCTCTATTCTCTCTTTTCACCAGACATGGCGATGACCTGATTGTGACACCTTTTGCCCAGGTCTGTATCCGGTTGGCAACCTCCTGCCCTCATTCTGTCCCACGGGTGGTTTCTAAGGGTGGCCTCTGAACCTTTTGTTTCTAACCATTTGAAATGTTGTCCTAACAGGTCCTGGCCAGCTTGAGAAGTGTAAGAAACAACTTCACTGTTCTGACAAACCTACATGGAACATCCAACAAGTAAGCATTAAACATTTTGTGGAGGTTAGATACGCTCTTTATGAATCCCTTCCATAAAAGCAAGAACAGTGAACTGCATTTTTATAAATTGACTACTACAAAGAAATTTGCTTTTCAGAGCTTTGTTAGGGCACGTAATCATATGTGAAAATAGAACATGACATCATCATATTTTAGAACTGGTTAGAGATGATCTAGTCTAGGTTTTATTCATCTTCATCCCTTAATACTTAGTAGCCAGTTGTTGTGGTGGTTAGTTGATTTTGAGTTGCCCCCAAACCATGGTGACCTCAAAAAGGAACCAAACCCTGCCTGGTCTGCGACATCCTGATGATCACAGATCCGGATATTGGGATCCAGTGGGTCTTCACTGGCTGATCTTCAGAAGTAGATCCCCAGGTCTTTCTTTCTTCTTCATCTTAATCTAGAAAGTCTACTGAAACCTGATTAGCATTTAACACCACCAACAATAAACCTTCACTAACAGATGGCTGGTGATTGCACAGGAGGGACATAGTACCCAGCAGGAATAGTTTCGATAAATGTAAGAATCAGATGAAGATTCTATTAACTTTTATATTTGCCACTTTGAAAAGGTTATTTAATACTGTTGTTGTTCTTAAGTGTGGTCAAGTTGGTTCTGACTCATAGCTACTCCACATAGGGTGTCTGAGGAGCAGCTGTTGAGTTTGAACCTCAGACATTGCGATTCAAATGACCTTTCAGTCCAGTGTTCATACTACCATGTCACCATGTCACATAGTGACCATAAATTATTAAAATCTTTTAGAATAAGCTACTACTGAATTCAGAAATTCATTCTTATACTGAAGTCACCAAAGAGCATTAATCGTACATTTTTCAATTAACCTTACATTTTTGGTGTCATAGAGACAGAATCAAGACAGAGTGTAGGACTCTCTTCTTTTCGGTCACTAATCTAGGTAAATTCAGTTATGATTGCTAAATTTGTTTTCCTCATCTATAAAATGAATGTTTGAGCTTCAAGGTATCCGTAGTAATTTTTTCCATTAACTATGAGTCTGGGTGGTTCAAACAGTTAATACTCTAACTAAAAGATTACAGGTTTGAGTCTACCCAGAGACTACCAGAATAAAAACCTGGCAAATTACTTACAAAAAATTAGACACTGAAAATCCTATGGTACATATTTCTACTCAGACACACATGGAATCACCAGGAGTTAGAGTCAACTTAAAGACAGCTGTTTTCTTCTCTTTTTTCATGATTACTCTATAAGGTGCTCTGGTAGCGTAGTGGTTACGAATCGGGCTGTGAACCTTAAGGTCAGCGGTTCGAAACTACCAGCTGCTCCACGGGAGAAAGATGAGGCTTTCTGCTCCCGTAAAGATTTACAGCCTTGGAAACCCTATACAGGGTCGCTATGGGTCGGACCCGACTCGATGGCACATAACAACAACAACAACACTCTGTAAGTAATGTAAGTATAGTAGAATAGTATCGTGATGTGCCTTGGAGTCGGATCCAACTCATAGCAACTGTGTACAAGGTTTCCAAGACCGTAAATCTTTATAGGAATAAAAAAACCTCATCTTTCACACGCAGAACAGCTGGGCAGAACAGCTGGTAGTTTCAAACAACTGACCTTAGCCCAATTTGTAACCACTATGAGCTCTGGTAGTGTAGTGGTTACGAATCGGGCTGTGAACCTCACAGTCAGCAGTTGGAAACTACCAATTGTTCCGCGGGAGAAAGAGGAGGCTTTCTGCTCCCGTAAAGATGTACAGCCTTGGAAACCCTGTACAGGGTCGCTATGGGTCGGAACCAACTCCACGGCACATAACAACAACAACAACAGTACTACCAGAGTAGAATAGTATAGTTCATATATAATAGTATAGTTCACTATTCCATAAGTTTTAAAAGATCATCATGGGCTCATAAGGTCATAGAATCAATGATCCTGGAGAGTAGGACTAAACCACTGATTCAGCCTCTTTTTGTTTTTACTGAAAGAGAATCCCAGATTCTCAGAACTCTAATGACTTGCTAACGACCATGACACAAGTTAGAGATGCAACAGAGTCAAAACATAAATCCTCTGAAGTTTTGGTCAGTCAGTGTTCACTAGAGAATAGTATGCCCTCATCAGTCTTTACAAAATTAGTAATCTTCTGTTTTGATTTGGTTAACAGACATGCCCTTAACCTGATACATCATAACCGAGTACATTTTTCAAAAGTGGCAGTAAACACGTGCTGTGAACACTCCTCTTTTCATTTTCCTGTAACTTGTAATTGACTCTCCTTGTGAGGCTCATGATGTCTTTCCTATCATCCAACTCTTCTCCTCTAAACTCTTTTCCCAACTGCTACCAGAGTGATCTTTCTCATATGCGCCTAACCATATCACACTCCTTGGGTCATTTCAAAGCTTCAATTTACAGTGAACACAAAGTTTAAATGCAGGTGCTTGACACCCAAAGCAATTCATGATCTAAACAAGTTAAATTGATTAATAACTGAGTGGATTTATATTTAATGCATATACATGGAATCTAGACCCGTGTCCCAGCTTCATTTGCAGTGGTGTTCATTTATTCATTAATTAGTTTTTCTGTTTCTTTGTTTATTAATTAACCTATCTAACATGTATTAATCTAGTGTATAGTATTCATGCACGGAGTCCTGATGTGGCACTGTGGAATAATGCACTGGATCACAAGGTCAGTTTGAACTGCAAGGTTGGCAGTTCAAATTCACTAGCCACCGCTTGGAAAGCCTATACAGGGATTCTATGAGTCAGAACTGATTCAAAGGCACTTAACAACAACATTCATGCATGGAGACATAGTTGGCTTTGTATGATAAGCCTTGGACTGCTAACCACAAGGTTCAAGCTCATCAGTGGCTCCTAGAAACCCTACACAAAGTCTCTATGAGTCAGAACTGATTTGATGGCACTTAACAACAATAATTCACGCTACAGGATAATGCACTGGACCAAAGGGTCAATTTGAACCACAAGGTTGGCAGTGCTCAATATCTGCTCCTGGAAAACCCTACACAGGGTTGCTATGAGTCAGAGCCAACTCAACACTTAACAACAATATTCATGCATTCCTGCACGTATGCATTTAACAAATATTTATTGTACACCTATATGGTTCCAGGACCTGGTGATATAATAGTGACCAAAGCAGACAAGTTCTCTAGGGCTTCCTTTCTAATGTAAAATGCCAGGCGACTTAATGGTGAAAAGTTGGAATGAATTTCTGGACACAAGGGAGTATATCCTAACAATTCTGGTCTAATTGTCCCCTGTATGTTCTATTTGCCATCCTAATTATGGACTTACTGTTGTCTCTCCTTTAAATATGTCTTGCCAACCTCCAGGGTCTAACTAAATCCTTCTTGCTTTGTATGACTCATATCCAGTGTTATCTTGATCAGAAGGTTGGCCCTGACCCCACCAAGTCTACTTGCAGGCCTCACTTGTGGCTTCAGGGAACTCAACAAAACTTATCACACTCTGTTTAGATGTTTCTATGTCTAGACTAAGGAGCTCTGGTAGCATAATGGTTATGAATTGGGCTACGAACCACAAGGTCAGCAGTTTGGAACTACCAGCTGTTCCATGGGAGAAAGATGAGGCTTTCTGCTCCTGTAGAGATTTACAGCCTCGGAAACCATGTACAGGGTCACTATGAGTTGGAACTGACTCCACAGCACACAGCCAATGTCTAGACTTTGTGCTCCTTCAGGGTGAGAATTATACTTAATTTTCATGAATTCCTTAGAATTAATGGAAAGCTTGACATATGGTTTCTGCTTTGTAAATACTCAGTATCCCTATTCATTCCCTCTTCATTTAGAAATAAATAATTTGTAGGGGAAAGTCCCCTATCCATTATTTAGAACGCTACTTTTTCAGGAGTAATGTTCTCTCCATCCCTGCCTTTCATTCTTTACAGATTATGACCTCTGGGGTCACACTTACCGGTGTCATGACCCGATTCCACCACGTAATTAACTTCTCTCATTTTCTGTCTGTACAGTAGTTAGTCTGAGGGTTGTTGCTGTTTTTAAGTGCTGTCAAGTCAGTTCCAACTGATAGTAACCCTGCATAGTGTTTCCGAGGAGCTGTTGGTGGGTTTGAACACCAACCTTGCAGTCTAGTGCCTATTCTATAACTCCACACCAGAACTCCACATCTGAGGACTAGATGACTAGATATTTATAATGCTTTTATAGAAGCATTCAAGTTGTTGCTGTAAAGTGGCATTTAGTCAGTTCTGACCCATAGCTACCCTGCATGGGATTTCCAAGGAGTGTTGGTATGAATTGCCAACCTTTCAGTTCAAACTGGCCTTGCAGTTGAGTGCTTATCCTACAATATCACAGCAGAACTCCAGCAGCATTCATAGTAGGTGTTCAATAAATATGAATTATATTTAATTAATATTATAAATGATGGAGTTCTGGTATGATGCTGTGGATTAATGTGCTGGATGCAAGGTTGGTTTGAGTAGCAAGGTCGGTGGTTCAGGCTCACCAGACGCTCCTTGGAAACCCTACACAGGGTCGCTATGAGTCAGAACCAATTCAATGGCACATAACAACATAATGGAGTTGGAGCTTAATAAACGATAGTTACATATCTTTTGCTGAATCCTGAAACAACAGAACACTTGGAGGTTTTCCCATCCAATATCTCAGTTACAATCACCATGAATTATATTTGTGATAAGCATTGTCACTCCCGTTCTGTGAATTGGCCTAGAATGAAAACTCACATTCGGCAAAAGTAAAATTAAGAGACTTATTGGAAGTCCAGAGATAGTCTGAACTAGAAATACATCCAAACTCACAGACTGAAAATCAAACAGAAGGAAGCAGGAAATAAAAGTGGCATTTTTTTTTTTTTTTTGGTTGTTGTTTTTCTTGCAGTTAGAACAAGCACTAAAATTTACAAGATTTTGTTGAAAGACAATCAGAGAAATCAAAAGAGAGAGATCT